TAAAAACAATTGAGTACAGCTTACGAAATTACCCCTTGCCAATCCCGTTTCTAGTATCTACAGTAGTCGAGTCTCTGTTTCTAGGCAATGTTCGCTCTCCTAAGCGAGCTTTGTGTATAGATTTCATGCTTTTACCAGGCATGTTATCGTTTCTTCAACCTTTAATGCAGGGTTTACCTGACCACCAAGAATAAGATACTGATCTACCCCGTAAAATTAAAACAACGCATGACAGTACAAGGTCTACACATGACACGCATAAACAATGCCATGTCACGTTTTGACGAATGTGGTGACTCGGTTCCAATATTTAACCAAATCACGTCATTTCTTTCTGTTCCCCTCGTACAACTTTGTCGGTTGCATCATGCGATTTACTGGTTGATGGTTGACTAGTTGGTAGAGGGCGTCAGTCGGTTAACACATAACTGAGAACGAAAGACCATTCATTGTCCACAGGGTCACAAATCAGTCCTCACCGTCGAAGAAGTTCAACACGTTCGATAACCCGCCTGGTTCACGCTTCCGTTTTTGGAAAACTTTTGGTGAATGCGCAGCTTTGCATTGTGTCATAACGGTGTAATAACATTTTTTTAATCGCATTTAATATCAAACTCAAAATATGGAAATTATTATACAATTGTTTTAATTTTTAGATTCTCTCTTCTGGCTACTTAATATACTAGTACTTTACAATGGATGTCGGCAATCATAACAGATCGGCTCTCGAGAATGGATTGTGTTCCGGAAATACTGAAAAACACGGTAATGCCAACACAAATATCAAGAACCAGACGTATGAAAAGAAATCTGTTAGGAATTATGGCGTATTTCTTACACTGCTATCCGGGATACTTAGTTCAACCACGTCTGTCGCCATTAAGTCGTCAACTGAGGTCACGTTCATTGAGGCATCGTTTTGGCGGGCAGTAATGAATTGCATTTGTGTCTATGTGTACCTGAAATTGTTCACCAAGCAGAATATTTTTGGAGACAAGATTTCATTATTGCTTTCAATACGTGGGATGTGTTACGCATTGGGGATTGTAATGTCGTTTATAGTTCGGCAAAATATTCCTTTAGGTGAGTACGCGTGTGTCTGTAGCATTCATGCAACTCGGCGAACATAACATTGAACTCTCGTGCACGTGATCTTGTGTGTGTGAATGTTATACCAAACCATATGTATCGCTGTACTGTAAAGTTATTTTACGAGCAGCGCATACGGCGAAATACCTTTGATGCAATAAGTAAGTATGATAAAACATTTTGAATGTTTAATTAAGAATGTCTGGGTATTTCAATTATTGAAGTGATTATCGTTGTGATTATAACACCTCTAAGACTGGCACATACAGATTTTGTGAAGGGACAATAACAAGCTAAGATGATATTCTGTCTTAACTGGCATCACACTACAAGTATATAATAGGATTATACAGTGGAAAAAGTGCTCGGAATTCTCACTTATAATTCTCACTTATTTCATTCTATTGCTTCCAATATAATGCATTAACGACATTCATTTATCTGAACATTTGTGTCAAACCTATGTGACATAGTAACTGTACCGGTATATTTCCGTTGGACAAACAATTGTGTCATAATAAATGAAAGCATCGCTTGAACAAACTTGTGCAACATACAACATGCGTCTGAAAATACTTCTTGAATAAAGTGTTGTGAGGTATTATATGAACTTTTAAGTTGGAAAAACAACACATACGAAGTGTATGAAAAAACTTAATTATGAAAAATATGAAAATGTATTGTAAAATTTTATTGTAAAAATAGTGGTTATAATAAATTGAGCTACTTCGTTTAGTTTTGCACATCCTATTCAGATACCAGTATATTTAAAGGGCGGCAGTCGTCGTGTCGCGTCCTGTTCGATATGGGACTCATAGCGACGTATACAACGCGTGTAAAATACATTGTTTATTTGCACGAAATTCGAACACGCACTGCGCGACGACCACCGCGCTTTAAATATGGTGAAAATGGTCAGTATTTCGTATTCACAACAACTAGTGTATATTTAACGCAAACTAGAAACTGTTGAAACATAATTTAAACACTTATTTTATTTACAGGTGATTCTGCTGCAATATCATCAACATCCACAGTAACTACTGGGGTACTTGGCACTATTCTCTTGAAAGAAAGGTTGACGTTTAAGGAGTTTATGATGTCTGTACTCTGTTTCATCGGTGCTGTGTTCGTCTCAAAACCGACTTTTATCTGGGGAACCAACCTTGAGCTTCACACACTGTATGTCGCTTTAGGCATCTGTTCAGCATTCAACACTTCATGCGTCTATCTCTTGGTCAGAAGAATTAGCCAAACTGTGAATGTAGCCCGACTGCTTTTCTTGACATTCGCTATTGCAAGTTGCCTGTTATTTGTCATTATGATTACAGTGGACGGTTTACACATTCCTTCAGTGACTTCCTTCAAATACTTGATTCTACTCACTTCAGCAGGTGAGTCGTCGAGTCAGGGTACTCGCCACATCAGGCGAATGGCCAAGCTAGAATAACCACGTTCACTTTGTTGATATTGTTTGCAGAAATCTGAAGTATTATTCCATTGACACGTTGTATGTGATCAAGAAAACTACACGACCGGCACGATAATAATGACCGTGATCATTTCCCCCCAAAAGTGCTGTTCCTACCTATAAAAGAGAGTCAAGAGAGCATTTTATATAGTGGAACATAAAGATACATTATCCATTTGGCCAGTAATCACTTTGAGTTGATTTCTTTTCAGTAATCACGATTTTGAACAGAAAATGGTAGGCTTGGTACAACTTGTAATTTCTAATTTAAATCCCTGAATTTCAATGAATGTAGTGAAGCATTAACACAAACAAACAATTATATGATTAGGGCAAATAGAAAATACAGTGTTTCTGGTGTTTGTGTTCTAAATTAAACGAGCGCAAACGTTTTTTTTATATATGTATTCTGCTGGTTTTCATCAAATTTTCAAATTTGGATTTTTATTATTTGTAAATTGGCCAAAAAAAACAAACAAAAAAACCTGTGACGCACATCTAATTTAATGACTCGCACGAAGATCAAAAACATTACTATTTTTTCTGGGTTTAACATATTATGATACACGAGTCGGACACTACACCTGCCCATCACGTTGAAATGCAGGAAGTATTAATAATCGTAGTAGATGGAAATGATTTCCAAAATATGTTGACGATGTATTAGATTAGTGTTGGCAATTCAAAGAGTTGCTACTGGTTTTTTTCCAGTTAAAAATCCCATAAATGGCTGCGAGTTTGAATTATTTACTTGTACCACGCACGACGACTACAATTTAAAGATTCAGCAAACAGTTGCATTGTATCGCCCACAGCGCTGAACTGAGTTTAAAGGGGAGAGTCGGTTTCTTTTGCAATTTTAGCGTGTGTTGTGCGTGCGTGCGCAGGTGACGACCCTCCCGCTTTAACATAAATACATGTCTGGAGGAAATATATTCAATATAAAAATTAGTGTTACCTATCGCCTTACATTTTCATTTTTATTGCAGAAATGTTGTCACAGGTGCTAGTCAGCAAGGGGTTACAGATGGAAAAAGCAGCATCGGTCGTAGTTTCGAAGAATGCCGGAAATATCGTCACCTCATTCCTGTCCGGCATTGTAATATACGGAAACACTCCATCCTTTTCCAGTATCATCGGCGCATCGTTAATCGTAGTTTCAACGAGCATTATTATTAAAAATAAGATACAAAATAAGACCAAGAGTGCGATTTAACCAATTTGAGGACATTCCACGATTCTGTTAAAGCTGCTTGAATCTATAAGCTAATTCAGAACAATGGTTTCTTTTGTAATATATTTTATAACCCTCAGTTTTAAACATTTTCTTGGTTTATGTATCCAAAACAGAAACATAAATATTTGGCGCTTTCTTTTTTAAAACAATGCTTACAGCATGGTTGGAATAGTATTATCATATTGAGCAAGAACCTAAGATTGAGAGTCTTTGTCAGGAAATCTATTGGAACAATATACGCATTAATAACTGCTTTATTATTAAGCATGGTATTATTTGTATAAATGATCTTCTTGGTGAACACTGTAACTCCATAACATTTTAATATTTTAAATAAAATCAGCCATGCAGTTGAAATAGCTGGTTCTGGTGGAAACAAATTGCGTGTATGTAAACCATTTTAGGATTGTAATACGAGGGGCGTTCAATGAGTAATGCCCCTGACCCGCTTCCAGTTGTCTGAGCTAGATGAAATTTTGCATGTGTAATGATTTACATCTCTATGGGATATGTTGCAAAAAACAGCTCTTAACTAATTGTGAAAGTGTTTGAACTGAGTCAGGTGTGAAATGGAGCCAGTTGAGTGTCGTATCACGGGTGAATCTTCTCTCTCGGGGTTCTCCACACTTGCCAGGGAGGGAATCTCGTCTCGTCTCTCTATCTCGTCCCCTTGAGGTACGGGATCGGGAAAGTCACTTTAACTTTACAGTCAAATAAGACACACACAACGAAATACGTTTCAGCTCTCGTCTTAGTCGATCTTTTGGAGCACTCTATAAGACACAGCGCCCTGGGGAAAAGTCCCCAAGACTATATCGCAAGGCTGACCCAAGACTCTCTTAGACTGCGTCAAGGCTCGCCCCAAGTCTCTCCAGGACTGCGTCTGTCGTGGAGTATTCGCCAAGACCAACTCAAACTCTCTTTATTCATTTTCAAAACTCTAACCAATTACAATGCAGTAAAAAGACTCTAGGGCGTAACCTTCAATCATAAAGCCAATCACACTAAGTACTGAATACGTCATATCTTTTGATTAATCGTTCACTACATTAATAACTACGGATGTCAGAATAGCGACGGTATCTTGTAATTAGTCCAAACCACTGAGCC